ATATATAAACACCATCGGGAGCACAACAACAATTAGACTTCACAGCTTCGAGTTTATACATTTTTCAACAACACCTAATTAAAAACGCACACAAACTGTGCTGCCACATCACTGTAGCTTGCAGCTCTCCGGCAGCAAGACAATAATGGCTGTACTCACCTGTTTGGACGCCATTCTGCCGGCCCTGCGCTCTGCGACGTTCACTGTCCAATTTGGTAGAATTTCTTGGCTTCATAATTTACAAATTTGGAAAAGTCCACTCTATGGCCCCGTGATAACTAAGGAGGGACCCCTGCACAGTGTGCTGATAGCCAGGGCGTCCGCTTTATTAGCTAATGTTAACCTTTACCCGGATTTGCTGATGGCGACGCAGAACAAACCGAAGAAGAATCCGGGTTTTTCCATTTTGAAACTGCGCATTCCAAATTTCGCACCTTCTTCCCCTTGGAGCGCCACTGCTGGCCTTGTGTGCCTGTACCATATTGAATGAACGCTTGTAAAAGGTTCTACCCTAGTGTGTACTGGGAGGATGTGTTTGATTTAAGTAACATGGCACGCTCCGTGGGTGGCGCAAATGTAGGTAAAGCTTATGAGGAGGTACAGTTAGGATAGCCTTAGTGGTGGAACATAATTAGTCCCTCAGCTGACTTAGTACTGCTGTACATTCTTTTTTTTCCCATAATCTAAAACATTGGCATTATGCTGGGGCCCGCGCGGGCACAGTTGCAGCTGCACCGCCCATGACGCAACACCGGTGATCGTTGTGCGGGTGCGCAAGTAAGACTTGTACGCATTTCTACAGAAAGTATAGGGGAAATAAAATGAGAACAGTTCAGTACTGAAGGCTCAGCAGAGGCCATATTTACTGTGATTACACTTTTGTGTACATTCACTGAGTCACCAGCAATCAACATTTTTATCAGAGCTTTGCTCTGGCACATACAGAAAGATCACTGATATGAACAGAGACATATCAGGTTGCAAGCAGTTCAGCACTTTTTGGTCACCCCCCCTGTAAAAAGCTGCCACCACTCTGTTCCACTGTTCCTCTTTGTTATTGCAGCCTGTGTTATAATATCTTTCTGGATATTTCTGAAGATTCTGAAACCAAAAACCAGACTACCTTAAGCAGAGCTGCAACTTTATTTTCTAATAACTTCAGCTATGGACTGATTTTTGTGTTACTGAAGGATGTAATAGCAGGGGGAAAGCCTCATAACCAGAGTGCTATCTAAATGAGCCATACTTCATGTGAGAGTGACATAACTATGTTGAAGCGATGTAAGCGGCCTGATAGGAACATTGCTTCTAGCATCTCCTGTGTCTCCTGTGCCACAGCTAATCCCAGAAAAGCCCCCAAAACAACTGGTCATGTGCACACTGACACAGCTAGCTTCACACATTTTTATTCATAACCCGCTCTCAACACTGACCAAATCTATTTCCCCCACTTCTAAAAAAATATAGGTCACTGCAGTTCTAAAAATGGCTGCCTCTCCCTGGGGCTTGCCAGAGCATGAAATAGACTTTACATCATATTAGCTGAGCAACAGCCACCAAAAAAACGTTCCCTTTTTTGGCGATTGCTCTTTTTTTTATCCCCTTTTGTTGCTGTAATCTAACATAGGATGATTCTCTCACTCTCATCTCCTCTCTTCCACTTTATGACCTGAATAAGATATCAGCATTTTGCCAAGGTTGGAATATGACAGGCAAGGCTAAGGTCATGTAGAGATTTAGATAATATGGTTTCAAAACACCTTACAATTCTTTCCATCTCTACCTTTCAGACTTGTTATGATAAGCAAGAATTTGTGGGTGGACTTCCAAATTGTTTGGATTTGCAAAATGCCTGCCGATAAGCCAAAGGGAGTCACGCGGCAGAGCACGCTACCTGTTTGTAATCCTACCTATGCCTACAACAGGCAGATGAATTACTGCAGTATCTACTCTTCATTTGGGTAGTGGCTGCAAAACACGTGCACAAATAAACTGCTTTCCCATTGTGGCCAACTCACAGCAAACTGGATAACGTTGTGAGGAAATTTCTGGGAGTTCTTTTTGCTGTAGAGTTTACACATTTCCAGACACTTTTCCTCCACCACTGTACTGACGTTTTTCCCTAACATTCCCACCTCCTCCGTATCTGTCCAATGTGTAAAGTCTCTGATGGCAGCACCTTGAAATGACTTTATGTTTTGTTTATTTAAATGTAGAAGGCGGCAGTAAAGCACCTGATCCCTCATTCATTTTCTGTGGTGTTTCCCAACCCCGGAGCCATTCATCAGCCGAGCTAAGTGTAGCTACAGCATAGCACTTCGCCACAGTGAGTGTGACATCAGCTCTCCACACGAAGCAGCGGGTGTGTCAAAGAGGAGAACAATTACAGAGGAGAAGGGAAGAAGTGGAGAAATGATGAAGGAGACTGATGAAGAAAAAAAAAGTGGCAGATAGGTTCGGCCATGTCTCTTCTAATTTTACTTGTGGCTCAAGCACTACTTTGTTCCACCACAAGATTTTATGCTAAGACCATGAACTGCCTCAAGACAGACACAGAAGAGCTACTGAATTATTAGACCTCACTCCACACACACACACACACACACACACAAAGATAATGAATAGGGAAAAGTTTAGTTAAAATTAAGATCCAAGTGGTGATGAACTTTTTGCCTGAGTGTGAGCATACTATACTGCTTGTCTGGTGTTTTTATAATTAAAGCTGCTCTGAATGTTTGGCTTTTAAAATTTAATCAATTGCCCTTGTAAAAAAAAAAAAGTTCAAACTAAATTCCATGCAGCTACAGTCAACTGTTTCACAAAATTATCTCCCCAAATATGAATAAAAGAGAAGGACTCTCTTGAGTGGTGAGCACAACAAAGCAAACTTGGGCTAGCATCCAAATTAGAGGAAAATTAAAGATATGAAAGATCAAAAACTAGGAGGAATGACAAAAAAGGAAAAGGAACTGGCAAACACTTACATCCAGCTGTGCCACTATAATTCACATTTTAAAGGCAATAGGAAAAAGAGCCGAATCAGCTGCAACTTGCATAGGAAATCATGAAAAGACAACTGAGACAGAATCAGGAAGAATCCACACAGAGTGTTAGTGTATATAGATATATATTTATATATGTATATATAAATATATAGATAGATATACGTATATATCTAGCTACTTTAATATATATACATATATCTTCATATATTTTAATGTTTAAACCCACTAAAAGTTGTAAATACAACTTTTGAATGAAAGGCACAGGAAAAATCAGACAATGCTGATATAATACTCAACAGAAAAAATACAGTACAAAAGAGGATGGTTAGTTACGAACGCACAAATCTCTCCAGGTTCCTCCAGACAGAAACAAAACCATATATGACACAACAAAGGCAGCGGGTTTCAAAACCAGAAATCCATCAGCCATACTTCTCTTTATTACTTTTCCAAGCTGACAAGGGTTGTATCAACTCCCTTGGTCTCACAGGAAGCCAAAAAAGCAACTTCTTTCTAGTTTCCCAGTAGATGGAGTGGCTCATATTTACTTGGTTATTGGCTTGTCTATTGGCTGTGCTACGCGACACTCCACTGAGCATTTAGCAGCTGGTGATATATGATGTACAAAACATACAAGGCTCAAGAGGGGAGTTCTCTTTAAGGGTATCTGAGTATAATCTGTCATGATCCATTAGTAAATGAGCCTACTGTATATTTGTGATTATGCTTCAATTTGTCGGTCCACTGAGAGTAAAAATCAACCCAACCTCTAAGTGGTGCAGAGTGTTTAAATATTAAAAAAATTCTGGCCTGCAAAATTTCAAAGTGCAGGTCAGAAGCCGGTTCTTGAGCACGACAGTAATTTAGGATATCTTCATTCCCTTTTTTAACATTTACTTGATAAAGCTTACTGCAGTCGACACCCACAGGAGACGTTTGACAATAGGATTCGTTAATCAATTACAGATGAAGATTAAAAAGAATCTGACACTGGAGGCCACTGCTATGCAGATGTATCGTGTTTTCTAGTTCTCTTAGGAATCCCTTCTTTTCTGCCCTTCTTTTTGTCAAGATTTTGTGACCCTGATCACAAAGCACAGGGGTTCGTGTTAGTATGGCTAGTGGGTGTCTTCAATGCTCCTGATTTAGTTTTTATTAAAGTTAAAATGTGTACATGTCCGACACCTCATGGAAAATTGTGTGCACACTAGAGTTCCTTTGGACAGTTCTTGTGGTGAAGTACTGGACGCAAAAAGGAGCTGTCACTTGTTCTGCTTGGGGTACTTACATATAGCCTCTTTGGTACAGGCACATCCGCATACAGGGACCACCACTGTCTAATTACCCTCTCTCTCTTTTACTCTCTCTGCATCCTATTAAAAAGAAAAAACATTCAGGAACAAAAAAAAACAAACAAAAAAACCAAGATGATTGCCACAACCCTGGAATCTGGAAATTGAGTGGTTGACTGGAGTAGCAGGAAATTGAAATAATATAGCTGTTAAGGGTTTTTTTACCTGCATGAAACCTAACACCTAACTCCACCTCTCTCCTCTCTGATGTAGCCTGGCCTTCCCTGCTACATCACGCTAACACTTCCTCCCTTGCAGCCATGCTACACAGAGAAAAAAAGCCATCACACAGCAAAAATGTAAATGTACCAATCAACATTTTCAGGCCTAGGAAAAAACTGAAATGGATGTTAAGATGCACTGTTCTAAATGAACGGCTCTGATAAAAAAAACAAAAACAAAAACAATAGAAAAAAAAACTGGCTGTGACCAGGACTGTTTTGTTTTGCTCTC